CCTGGCCTTGTTTATATAGCTGACGTTAAAGCATTTTTCACAAAACCTGTCAGAAGCTTGTATGTAATCTTACTTGACAAAGTAGCTTTAAAAAACTTGTGTGGAGAATGTAACACTAGTTTAGAAGTACACATGCTTGAAAAGCTCTTGCCATGAAGCTTTGTAGTTACTATGTGGCTATTAAAACTGAATTATATCCCTATTTTGTTTGCAAAATATTTGCCTTTTTCCCTATTAACTTTGTAACTCCTGCTGCTCAAGCAAACCCATTTTGGGCTCCAAATGTTTCCTCTGTGGCATCCCATTGTTTGTCTAACATCACCTGAAGTGTGTATATTTTCATTATAACCAAAAATGCTGTAATCTCTATGCCCTTGAATTCTCCTGCAGCTACAAGTATGTCATTCAGTGTGTGTGCGCGTGTGTGTGTGCGCGCATGCGTGTGTGTGCATGCACGTGTTTGATAGTGTGTGGGACTACAGGAGGGAGTCGACAACTCCACATGGGAATTAATGTCATTCATACACCCTGCGGAAATGACTTTTGAAATGCATATAATCTCAAACATGCAAATGAGAAGCTTGCTTCACCCTGTTTAATATGAATGATCAGCTTCTGAATAGCTATTATTACACGCCACATTTCAGCAATTATGTTGTTCCCAGTTTGTCGGTCTATAGTGCCAAAAAAGAAGGGGAAAGAAAATATATAGGGAAGAAAAGGAAGAAAAAAAGAAATTTCTCTTCCGCTGTCAAACTTGTTGACCTCTGGTCTGATCAGTCCCAACTGAGGGTTTTAGGCTTTGCTTCACTGTACTAGGAAGGAACTTCCTTGAAGGATGACTGTTGTTGTTTTCTTTGTTGAGAAACAAAATTAAAATGAGACACCCTGGTGTGTCTGTTGCATGTTAACAGTTTTGTTTTACTGTTAGTTTGATTATAAATAGGTTTATTAGGCAGAAATGGCACTCCCAGAATCCGGGTAGCAAAACATTTGCCCATTGATCTTAGCAGAATTGGTGTTATTAATTTAAAATAATCGGTGTTTCCTCCTTTAAATTCATATAAACACTTCCTATGCTACTGTGGTAATGTGAACACATATTAGAATCTGTTTTCATTTTGTCCATAAAGTAAACCACTAGTTTCTGTGGTTGAAAACAGAAGCTTGAAAATCTATGTTGTGTTATCAAGGATCCCAAGCCAGAAACTTGGAAAACAGAACTTCCACTATATTTCACAATAAGTATCTCTGAATACCTTCTCTGCCTCCAATATCTGGCATTTCAAACTAAAAATGTTTAACCTGATGCCCTTTGGGTGTTTGGACTCAAATTCGTATAAAGTCTGATTGGCTATGCTGGTTGGTAAGAAATTATGGGAACTGTAGTGCAAAACTTTTGAAGTTGCATGTCCACATTCTAGAACATCTCTCACTGTGACCCTAGTACCAGTGGTGGGTTGAGTCAGGGAACGCAGCTCCTCCAAACAAATTCACTCAGAAGCTGATTTTGAATACATGTGAGAAATAAAAGTAAGACTTAAAAAATAAGACACCTGCAGCTGTTCTCTTCTAGCTCCTTCAGAAAACTTGTCCCAGAGATTGTATGTTCTAGCAGTGGCCTCATGCCAACTAATAGAACAGCAAAACATTCCAGAAATGCAGGAAAAGGTTGAGGTGTGTTTGCTTGTATAGAAGGAACACACAAAATCACTTAACAAGAATCTGTGCTGCACTCATGCTACCAGGTGAGCTTGGGAACACAAGAGCAGAGCAGGCAAGACCACTGACTATGATGCATGGCCACTAAGCGGAGTTTTCCAGCTTGCTCTGTCTCACCCTAAAGCCCAACTGAGGGATGGAGGGTGGATTTTTGGGTTGGGAGACACGGGCCTGATGACCTTCATCCTCCTATCCTGTAGTTACTTTAAGTTGTTATGAAGCTTATATCTTTTAGGACTGAAGAGGAATATGTTTCAATCCAATTTACATGCCCCTAATATATTTTAAGTTACAAAGGTGGTCAGACCTCTAACATTTTAAAGGATCCTGCAGAAGAAGAAACTGAGATTTGTGCTGAACTTGCCTGCAGAGTGTGTTGTGAGAGAGTTATTCTCTCCCTCCCCCTGCACCGCTCACATTCTCTCGTTGTTTTGAAAAGTTCAAAGATGTCTGCCAAACTCAGGCCTGAGCCCAAGGGCTATAGCATTATAGTTATCAGTGGCAGTGTGTGATTTTTGCCATTTATCTCCTCTCCCTGGCTGCTTCTCCCTTAGAACTCCTTAAGGGGGAGATTCTGGCAGTCATCAGTGTTCAGTCAGAGGTTCTCTCTTCTCCATAATCCTTGGACTGCTAAGCAATCGTTTCCTTGGCTTCCACACAGTTACTTTCTGATTCTGGAGCAAATCGCCCCCTTTAGCAGGAGAGGGGAACCTCCTTAAGTCCAGGATGAAATTCTCAGGCTTACATTTGTGGTGGGAAGGGGCAAAGGGGTGGGGGCCAGGCGTACCACCAATAGCGACATATTGTAGTTTAAAACTCTTACTGCCAGTAACTAAACCACTGAAAGATTGGTGTTTAGGGGGAGAAGAGTGGTGCCAGACCCACTTGCCAGGCCAGGTGCCAGGAGGAGAGTAAAGAAATGGAGAACACTTTACCTTTTTATGTGCAAAAGCTAGAAGATGCTGCATTGTTTGATCCAGTGTCACAACTCCTGTAATGCTAACATCTAATTTCGACAAGGGGATAGACGATTTTTGGGTGGCTTTTGTCCAACCTTGCCCACATTCCTGGTGCCTTCTGTAGCAAAAATGTGTCATGCAAAGTCGCTCTTGGATATCAGGTAAGTTTAAAATCTGAGCTCTTTTCTAGTAGCTCCTTACCAACCTGGCAGCTTCAATGAAATGTTAGGGTTCTATTTTCAAAATACGTTTAGCCTTGCCCTGCCAAGTTCTTTCAAAGAATCTAGCTTTAGATGGTCTCTGGTGAGTTCTTTCTGGCACTTGATTATTGGTTTACTACAGAATATGCTTGTGTGGTTTGTACACTTTGCACTTGACTAGGAGTAGTTCAGTTCTGTCTTGCTAGCTGAGTTTCCTTGAATGCTTAAAAGCATGCCTAATGCAAGGGAATGGATAAACTTGGAGTGAAAGAACATGGTTTAGATGAGGGATTTTTGTGGTATTGATGGCTCTCAAGTATCTTGCACTTCTGCTGTATTACTCGGTTCTTCTCTGGACTGCAGCTAACTTTAGAATGGATTTGCCTCCTTTTAACAACATATCCCAATAGACTGTTATGTGGACTACTGAACTAGAGATAGTAAAGATTTTTGGCTAAAGTATGCTCTTTTATTTTTCTTTTGTTTATTGATACTTATAATTTTTGTATTGTTTATTAATTGGTTTTCTGTCTGGCACTGAATAAAAGCACTATAGATAATTTATTGTAGTGTTTGTTTTTCATATTTTTATATTGCATTTTTGTATGTCAGTATTAGCTGGTTTGGGCTTCCTTTTGCAAGGAGAACTTTAAAAGGAAAGAAATAGCAGCAGGAGCTGCTTCTTTTGATCTTTAGAACAAAACAGAGCAAATAGCGGCAATTTGTTTCTCACTGAAGTGGGATACAGAAGTTATGTACTTTTAGGGTGAGGTTGAAGTTGGAATAAACGCCTGCTATTTGAAAAAGGAAGGTCCCCTTCCATTTCTTAACAGTATAATGCATGATGTATGATTAGCATATCCTGCCCTGGTATTTGTTAACTCTCCATTTTCAAACAGTCCTGTGTAGAGCATGGGGGCAAAGGTCTTTTCATAGGTAAACATTTCCTGAAATACCCCTAGCTTTCTGATGAAATTTTAGTTCCTCCAAAAGTGTTTTTTGCTGACTACACGGTTAACTAAGAGATTTGGCAGTCTTGTGATTAAACATGGGAAGTCCTTTGCCTCAGGGTGCTTCCAAACGAAGCTTTTATTGTGCAATTGCTTTGCCTCATTCACTGAACTTTACTGAGATTTCGGATGTCTTTCATTTGTAACCCTCACATGTTCTCCTAGCACTGCTTCTATCTTTTTTCCTTAGCACAGAACATCTCTTAATGAAGGAAAGAAGGAACAGCTGTACAACAAGCCAGTTAACATGATCAAACCAAGCTACTTGCATGATCAAGCCAAGCCATTGTGGCTTATTGTGAGCACAGCACATGCTGGGCACCATCAAATAACCCTACAAAAACTCATGGGTTGTATGAGGATTGTTTAACCTTCCAAGAACCATGCCATCTAGTTTGAATGGCACAACCAGCTGTGACCTGATAGTGCTTATACAAATTATGCTCAGTGGCTTGTTGACCTGGTTCCCCAAATTAAAATTTCTTCAGATTGGTAGGACTTAGATGCCCTCAGTCTGGAAGCATCCTAATAGCTGTGCCATAATTTTCTTTGCAATTGTATCTTGATGGCTTTGTATAGAGTAACGAAATGAGGCTTTCTCTTTAGGGATGTGTGCTAGAAGTCTTCTTGATTCAGCTCATGGAAGGAATCAGAATCCACAATCCAGTCACAACAACAACAATACTCAATAGAAAACCTTTTTCTTAGTGGGTTTTGTGCACCCCTGTTTCCTAGACTCTATGGGCTGATGTGGGCCGCCTAGGGTTAGTTTGTGCTGAAAACTGCCCTTAACAGCTGGGCTGTTACTTTTTTTTAAGAAGCTGTTGTCTTCTGAAAGCCTCGCTGTGATAACAGGTGTGACCACAAAGTGATTAACCAACAAGTTTCTCGTTGGTTTCTGTTCTCTTGATACTTTGGAGTGTGTGTACGTTTTGGAGGGTGGGTATGGAACTGGGGACAGTTTGAGAACCTTGGGAAGAGGGGCTGCCCATCCCAGTTATGTCACAGCAGTACAAATACTGTTCAGCCAGGTGAAGCACTCCAGTTCACTCCAGATTAGCTTTGCTCTAATCTTTGCTCAGATATTTTTTATTGCTTTCTTTATGCAGGTGCTGCTAACAAGTCATGATGGTTGAATCTGCCTCAGAGACAATACGTTCCACTCCCTCCAGTCAAAATGGTGTCAGCAGCCTAAACAATCCAACTGATGGAGGAGGTGGAGGTGGAGGTGGAGGTGGTGGATGTGGAAGAGAGGGAGGAGCTAGTGGAGAAACCAATGGAGAGATGAGCCCAGTGGAACTCCTGCATTTTCAGCAGCAGCAGGTACTGAGGATTTGACTTCCATATTCCCTCACTTGCTTCAGACTTACTTTAGGAGCGCATCACTGAATTGCTTCCATTCCTCGGCTTCTGTGTAGCTTTCTCTTGACATTGCAGAGAAGTATAACTGCAAATGGAAAAAAATGAAGTACAGGTTAGGTTAACCTGTGAGAAAGGTTGCTCACCAGTAGTTGGTACTTTTCCTTCATAACACCTACTTGCATCAAGTTTTGTCTGGAATTGAATACCTTCTCACAGATAGCAGATTGTGCTCCTAGGTGTGACTTCTTTAGAATGAATGTTTATTTATAGGTGGTACCTTAAATCAACACTCCAGCATACTTTTTACCTGAAAGGCAAGCAACCATTGGTAAGATTTGCAGGCTCCAAGAGGAATTGGCGGTACAGTGTTGGGGCATGTTTTTTTTCTTGACAGTCTCTCTCCTGACAGCCATGATTCAGAATGACATGTTGCTACACCCTCAAGTGCTGTGGTGGTAGAACAATGCAGAGGTTGAAAAGAGACACAACAAACTTGGCCAGTACGTTGGCAATTTCTTCCTCATTTATAGTTTACAGCCACCATTCATAAATTAACATGTTAAATAGAACTTATACTTTGCAATAGGGACTGTAGTAGGACTGTGATCATTCAAGGATATGGTTGGCTCATATGGATGAAGAGAGGCATATTGAGGCTTTGCAGCAATGAGAAGCTGCATGAGCTGTGCCACTTGTAGATCTTTCAGCTACTTCACCCATATGAAATTCACAAATTGCAACTCGATTACTCTGTGTGTGAAACCACACCAAACTCATCATGGCTAATGCCACCTTTGAATCTAAGCACTGGCAATCACAGTCTCTCAAGCCCTGGTCTTCCTTTCGCCCCATTCAGACAAGGTGCCACCAACGCAGGCTGCTCTTCAGCCTGTGTTTTATGAGAACAACATTACTGTTAATCTAGGCATTCTGTCAGCAGAGACAGGTTATGGATGTGAAATAAAAGATGGCAATTTGCACTAACATGACTATAATGCAACTAGCTCTGTAGACTGTTCCACACTTTGTGAAGTGTTCATGTGAGACAACTAGGTGTGCATAAAGACTTCACGGCTGCCATCAGCATGGATCTGTAAGCACTAATGCATAGCTGTGCAAAAGTGAATGACAATGACGCTCAGAAGCTTGACAAAACAAGTGGTGGAGCACATGCAGACACTAAATGATGACCGTGAATATAATCAATACGTATGATACTGTGTGCATGCTTTCTTAGTCCGAGTTGCCTTATATAAGACCCATGGATATGCTTTTATCACTGTATGCCTAATATTCCCACCTTTCTCATGGATGAACATGTCTGTTTCAAATTGTAATTGTACAACTGCATGCTAACAGATTAAAGAAATAAGGCCAGCTCTTCATTAGCCCAAGTGACAGTAATTTCATGTTCTAAAATACTGGTTTCTAGCCAATTTTTTTTATTGAAGCCATTGTTGAGGTGCTATTTATAAAGAACCATTGTATAAACTTGGATCTCCTCACCCCTCCCTCTGTGCTTTTTGTGTCTAGTGGCTTAGCATCTGCTTCTGTCAATCTAAACCTAAATCAAACTTAAAAAGCATAAGCATTTGGTTAATTTGGGCCATGAATACTTGCTGTAATCATAATTGACAGATATTGCTGATTTTAATGACAAGGTCATGGTCATTTTGAATGTCCTCTTCTTCCCACTTGTAGCTTTAAGAGCATGTGGATTCCAAACCACAGAGGGAATATCTTTAAGAAAAACATGTTCCAATATCATACCACACATTTCTTATGGAAAAGTTATGTAATGAGCATTTGTCCATGCTTCTGGTAAATCCTAGTTTAGTGATGATATCCCACTTCTTTGTATCCCATCCATTGCAGATGAACACACACAGAGACACAGGTGGATTGTCATACATGGAGGCATATGAACAGATTGGGTCCTGTGTATCTGTCCACTTGTAACTTCCAAGGAATTGGCACAGGATGGGTAACCATAATGAAATACAACAAGTCCCTCGTATCTGCAATGGTCAGTTCCAAGCCCCCCGGCAGATGCCTGAAACCATGGATAATAGCAAATGCTATACATCAGGAAGGGGTTGCCCCGGGGTGGCACCAATGGGTGGCAGGCGGGCACCTGTGAATGGTGATCAAGCCACAGAATAAACTCAACTAAATTATATACATTTCTTTTCCCCATTTTTGTTCATTCTTACCTCAGCTCTTTAAGAATTCCTTTGCTACTTTACAGCTTCTCTTTCAGGCCGAGGTCGACTGTGGTTAACTGAAAATGCAGTGGATACAGGGGTCTGGCTGTATGCCCACCTGAATGTGAGCCATGGGTTAGCTGGCTTGCAGGCACTGTTTGGTAGTAGTGGACTTGTTGATCAGCTCTGTGAGCTGTATTTTACAAACACTGCATTACTCTTTTCTTTGGAAAACTAATTGTAGCAATCATGATGGTACCTGCCCAGAGCGCTGTGGATTCTGCCTGTCTAGTTTTGAGTCCATTAGCCTTGCACGAACTATGTAAATTGATATTACATTGGGGAAACCTTGCACAATTAATAACTGACATTGCCTAACAAGTTAGGGGTCAGACTGCTCCAATTTGGAGACTAGAATACCCTTCCTTGCTTGCCAAGGTATTCTGATGTAACTTTAAGGTTACATGGTAGATTGCATCTTCAGTAAAATCTCTGTGTGCACATTTTTACATTCAATATATAGCCTAAATACCTTTCTAGTTTGCCTTTCTTTGATCTCTGCCTTTTGTAAAGAGAGATCAGTGTCTTGCTCCATGCGCTACATGTAAAGACAAATGTGAACATATGCACTGCAGGTGCATGCATGTACTTCTCTGTGCATGTATATTTTCCTTAGATATGTATCTAAGGAAGTATGGGCAAATAAATTTAAAGTAGCACCTCATATGTTTATACATGCATGCATATGTAAAACTTGCAAGCTACATTTGAAAACAAACTTTAGAGATAAAAAATAATGTTCCATCTCAGATACTAAATAAGGCAAAGAGCCCAGCCTCATATGGAGATCACTTCTCTTAAGCCATAAATTCCAGCATGAAAGCTGTAAAAAATTGCTGTGTCTGATACTTTAGTAGAAAGCACTGTAAATCCATTACCTGAATAACAGCCGTTTCTCACGCAGTTAAGCCACTGTTCCCCTGATCTGAAGGGTAATCATGCGTGTCATGCTTCTTGGAGTCACCCCTGCTGAATGAAAGAGACACATTCAGGAAGGGTGTGTGTGTGGCAGTAATAAGACTTGTCTTCATATTGCTTTGGGGCTCGTGCTGCAATTCATTTTACGGCATGGTGGGCTCTTATAAATAGATGTGTGTTCACTCATGGTCCAGGTAAAGTATATTGAAATACTTGGAAAGTAGAAGCTCCTCTGTCGGGCCCAGTGCTGGTTGGCCTGAGCCACTATGGGAGCATGTCCTTATTTATGTCTGGCACATTGTTGGGCTGCTAAGCCTTCACCTAAAAGGCACATGAGAGGTTTAATGCTAATAAATGCTCACATAACTGCCCCCCACACATGCACAGCCACTGAAGTAGGAATCTGTGGAAAATACTTCCATGCAGGGTTTGTCTTTCTATGTGATTTGACCTGATGTGTAGTGGTCTTTGTGGTACCGGTGTTGAGACTCATGGCATGCCACAGAGAGGTGACAAAAGTAATATTTGCATATTCATTACACTTATTCTAGGTCATACCCAGTAAGTCACCTTTCTTGATCTATGGAACAATTCTCTTTAAGAGGTAAATGAGTCAAATGTACCAAATTGGACAGCTATGTGGACATTCCTGGGATGTTCTCATGCAGGAGCTTGAAAGAATTAAACATCTTTTGACCAAGGATCCTTTTGAATAGGCCATGTGCAAGGTATATTCTCACAGACCTGTTTTGCACATGTGTCCAAAGGCATCTTTTTAAAAATAATTCAAAGGTAGGCAAATATTTTGGAACCAGTCATCTCTCATTTCAGATAAAGGAATGAGAAACAAGAACACCAAATTCAGCTTTTCTAAATGCTAGTCTGTTATACCAAACTTAAGTGCAGATTCTCATTGCTCCCCTTTCTGTCTTATGTTTTTTGATTCTTGCTTAATGTCCACAATCTGCTACACAGAAATGTTATCTCTTCTCCATTAGAGATGCCAGAGAAGTCGGAGGTAGAGGTTGTTCTAACTATAACACCCATATAATATGCAGATAGATCGTTTTGTTCAGTCCCTGGGGCACTTGAAATAGTTTAACTCTCCCATGTATCTCCCTTGCTATGTGTTAGATGGATATAGATATAGATCACATACACATATCCTCTAAGATGGATAAATGGCAAGAGTTAAGCTGTTTCAAGTAATCCAAGGGACTGGCAAAAGTGACTCATTTGCACATGGGTTTTATTGCTTAAACAAACTCCCTTGGCTGCTGTCCTGTCCTGGATACCTTCTACTGGAGGAAAGACACTATTGTTGTGTAGTGGGGTATAAAGAATACATCAAGAATGAAAAGGAATCAAGATTATTTCTTGTGTCCTTTTCTTTCTCTGCAAAGACAGAGCTAGGAATGATAGTTTCCTACAACTGCCCCTTCATTCATGCAACTTCACTCTAAAAGGAATATGGGGGAGGGTTGGAGAAAAGAATCATCTTCCCAAATAATGTTTGCCTTCACTTGAGTGCCTTCCTTGACGTGCATATAATTAACCTGTGGAACTCACTAGTGCAAGACAGTACTTAAAGGTAAAGGAAACTTCTGAACACAGATGGCATCTGCAGTGACAATAGCTCAGATGAGAACCATTGGTGCTATCAATCTTCATGCTTCAGAGAACAAGCTGAGCAGCAGCTGGGGTCAGTAATAAATGTCCCCATATAGAGAGTTTTGCACAATTAGGTGCTTCATGAAGGATTTACACATTCTCCAGTAG